CATGACCTACACAACTAATGAGTGACTAAGATGGGGTGGTACTGCTAATGTGGTCCAAAAGACACAAGTCATCTCATTGTTGGCTAATTTGTTCAACTATGCATATTCTTCATTTTCTTTAGTGAGGCTTGAGGTATCATGTTACTACATATTTTACCACTTAGTTCAAATCGCTAGTCCATTATTTATTCTTTTCTGAATGGCCATTGATCTGTCATGTTCTATCATGTTACTGCACGTGACAGGACCTCGTCCATTGCTGAGTTCTTTATGATCTGCTGGTTCAAACGTATACTCTTTGTTCAATAATTATGATAATAAAAAACAGTGCTGTGATTGTCAGCTTGAGTTGGTAAAATCGTAGCTATTGGCTCTTCAGTAGGTAAATCAGGTTAGCCAGCATATCATTTCTACCAAATAGCTGGTGAACAAAAGAAATTACATCTGACATATATCAACTGTTAGATTATCTCAGGTATGTCTCAAACAACACAAAAGGGGTTTCCTAATAAGTGCTGCTGTTAATACTTAGATAATGACTTAAGTTGCCATTGGCGGATGTGATATGCATCAGGGGGGCTGTTCCTTTCCTCTGTTTCTGCTTAAACTGTTCTATCATTGTCTTGCTTTGTGGATGAGTTCCTATGTCCTTAAACATATTTCTTTTTGTTTTCTTTTCCATCAGTTCTTCCCTTTCTTTTGCGCTTTAAAATTAGTACCATATGATATGTCAATTTCTTCTCTTATTAGCAAATTGTGTCTGCCTTTTTCTTTTGCTAGGAGGTCAATAGAAAATGTGTGTATAACAGAAAACTGTTGGATCACAATGTTTGTGAGGTCAACCAATTAGAGGCCAAACCAAAGTGATATTTTGGGTGGTGGGCTCGACCTTAGCCTCTCTTGTACCCCCATGGTTTACCATTTTGTGTCCATTTCCTAAAATGGCTTCTTTCCCATTGGTCAAAAAGGCTACATTTTTTTTAAAAAAAAAGGCCATCTTGTTAGCAAGTTTGATATGGGGGTAATGCAGAATGTATTTTGAAAGAAAGCCGATAGTACAATTGTTTGCTGGAATAAGTTTTTCTGATAGAAAAGGAACAAACTCATGATAATACTTTAATAAAATCGAAAAATAGCTCATCACCAAGTTTAAAATCACAAAGGGATATAGAAAGTTTACCATCCCAAGGATAATAAACAAAGATACAGAACTGAAAACAAAAGACTCATTACTCAAGAAAACATCCAAAAGATACAGAGTTTAAGAGAGAACTCCCAGAGAGCTTCTGCTAATATCATCAGTTTCTAAAACTCTTTCTAGCCCTAAAACACAAAAATAAGTACTAGTACATGAAACAACCCTTCATGCATAGGGAATTATGAAATTAAGTGTTTTACAGTTGGTAATTAACCCCTTTAATGCATTCCTTGGTCATGAAGAAAAGCATCTTAAAACAGCTTTAACTTTGTCTAAGGAATATGCTTATGAGCTATCATATTTGAGTGAGTCGGGTTAAAGGCTATGAGACAATATTGTGGGCTGTAGAGAATACCATAGGATCAGCAAGATCCACACGAGCTGATTGTACCAAATTAGACACTCCCGTGTCAAAGTTCCACAACTAGGTAATGATCTTGTTGGTGTGAAGATCAAAGTTTGAAACCTCACCCTTTACTGTGGTCTAAAAGTCACTGCCACATTAGCAAAGAAGCGATAAACGTGGTTCTTTCCTTTTTATGATCAAGCTGCCAATGAGGCTTTCAAGGTTGGATAGGGAGGGAAAGAAGTTGATCCATGTCGATAGAGGAGAGTGGTATGTAAAGTTCGTACTAGTAAGTATCTTTTTATTACTTTTTTGGTGATACTAGGTGATGCTGTTTGACATACTGTCTGGTATACTGGTACCAATCATTTTTTATTTTTATTTTTATTTCATGGTGATCAAGAATAAAATTCTTGGAGTGTACCATTGAAGTTCTTGAAGGCTATTGTACAATTCCTTGTTGCCTTCTCCTTTTTATATTATTATTTAAAGTATAGGTTGCCTTGCCTCAAAGAATTTTATTTTCTTTTAGAATTTTCAGTAGAACGAAAAAAGAGGAAGAACAGGACTCTTATGTATTTGCTGAACTTTTCTAGAATTTCCACCTTCCAGTTGGTAGAACTGCTAATGGAATATATAATCTGAGTTATATCAGTTGGTATAAGGCAACAATTTTTGACTTGTTTGGTAGGTGTATGACGAAAAGCACAGTGCATATTATATATAATTAACTCAACTAATGATTTTTGTTTAACAATTGTTGTACCAAATATGAATGGTAGCAAAAGAACCTGGTTAAATAATCATTTTATCAAATTAGTAGCTGAGAGCATGGATCAAAATTGACGCAGGATAATGAAGGATTCTTTTACTGGGTGCTTTTGGAAGATGTAGAGCCATTGGTAGGCACTTAAGAAGATATAGAGCACAATTAGATTCATTACTACATCTTTTTGGCAAAGATTCATACTATCATTCATTCTTTGTTGTTGCAATTGGCTGTTTCCTTGTAATTCATTTAAGCTGGAAAATACCTGTCTTCTTTTGCAAGTGGCCAGGCACTAGAGGATTGTTGAAGAAAGGCTAAAAAAGTCCATATGAATATATGCAACAAAATACCAGTTCTAGATTGCAACACTGTAATGCAAGATGTGTTTGATCATATACCGTCAAAGCATTGCAAATTGATGGCTATATTGCATTGCTTAAGATGACTACTGGTGTTAGAATAAAAGTTTGATTACTATTTTACTCAAGGGTCAGTTCTAACTTTTATTGTGGTATATACCATTGTTACTTGTATCTTTTCAACAAAAAGATTAGCTGTCATTATATCTACTAGATTGGGCAATTTTGACCTTAAGCTAGCTAAGTCCTAATTCTGTTTGTTATGCCTGTGTTCAAAGGCCTTTGTATGTGCATCTTAATGTCACCACGTTATGTAGGAAATGGAGCTACACTGGCCAAGCTTCTTTTGATTTGTTCTCATTTTTATGCCAATATTGTGCTTATCATCCATTTCTGCTAGCTGTTTTGGGCCTCCAGATTGCATCAACATGAAATTCTTTTCTGGTTATATTATTATTATTATTATTATTATTATTATTATTGTTATTATTATTATTATTATTGTTATTATTTTGTTGGTTCTGTTGTTCTTTCAGCCACCAGTCAACCATTAATTAAAAATCAAACAATCAATATCAGAGTTTGCCTTTTCGAGTATCGGACCCGTTTCGACAAACTACTGGAACGGTACATATCGGTTTGTATTGGTGTACCACCATGGTACGCCGGTGCATACCAGTGGCTCGGCGATGAAGAAAAAGAAAGAAGTGGAAGGAGCAGTGGAGGAATAGAGGGAGGAGGAAGGAAGAGGGAAGAAGAGGAAGAAGTGGAGGAAGAAGAAGAAAGAAGAGGAAAAGAACTGCAGCAGCGTTCCTGGGAATTAGTGGCAGCGACAGCGAGGCGACGCCATCTTATGCGACAGCAAAGTGACAGCTGCAGCAAGGGGAAGCAGGGACGATGAGCTGGCGACATCTTACATGATGGCGAAGCAATAGTGATAGTATAGGAGAAGCAACGACAGCTAGGTGGTGGCATCTTACATGATGGCGAAGTAGCAGTGGTAGTAGAGGCAAAGCGGTGACTATGAGGCGGCGATACCTTGCACGATGTGTTCGCAAGCCCTTATCTTTTTTTTTCTATGCTGATTTGGACATAGGCCCCACCATTTCTTTGAATATTTTATTAATTTAACTGGACCATCTAGTACAAGGTTGTCCATGTATCGATCCCTTGTTGGACCGGTATGTATTGCCCATACTGAGCGATATACTGCAGCACGGCAAACCCTGATCAACGTTACCTTTTGTTCTCTTTTTCCATCCATTGTTTCTAGCATTTTTTCCTATCAGTCTAGGAGATCAATTCTTATAAAATGGAACTCGACTATGGGTTTCTCTAGTCTTAGCAACAAGTAACAACTCCACAATCTGTTTTCTGAGGCTTAAAAAAATCTCTGTAAATCTAATATGTTAATTCAGTTTGGTAAACTTTTAGTCATGTGTAGTCTAGAATTACAAGTTATGAATCTAACTTGTCACACAAAAGGACATATGATATATTTACTTCAACACTTTACCAACTCTAAGATGTTGGTAGCTCTAGTTATCAAAGATTACTTCAACACTTATGCCTAGTTTCTTTAATTATGTTTTATTACAAATAACAACTGCCTGGCCTTCCCTTTTCTGGATCTGAAGTGCTACAGTTGACCCCTTTATTTGTAGTCTCTACTCTCTAGTCTCTACAATATAGCATCTATCTGGTCTCACTTGATTGTTTAGTAAGAACATAAAAGATGAATTAATATATTGCTCCTGAATGCCTAGGTCTATGGCAATCTATTTTCCTTTCTGTCATCCTCCTATCTTCATTTTGTATCTCAAATATCTCTTGACTTGTTGAGAAGGCAATCATCTTATTGCCTCATGGGTGGAAGTTATAGAAGTTTGATGGATCATCGGAGTCCATAAATACCATAGCTTCAGGTCATGGCTTCCATAATTAGCTTCGTTTGGTTCGTATGGGATATTTGGAATTAGTCACATCCAATTCCGTTTCCCAGTTCTTTTGTTCTTCCTTTCTATAAATATCAATTTCGGTCCATGTGAATATGTTATGCTATTGCCATGTTGTTAAATTGAACTATCATGTTATGCGCTTAGAGTAGGTTAGAGTTAGTGGATAAATTATGAAAATTTTGTTTAGTCACCTAGGACTTACGGTTATTTATGGTCTTAATGGCGATAAAAAATCCATGTAACCAGCCTCAAATAGTTGGAATATATGATATTGTTATTGTTGTTGTTGTTGTTCAGTCACTTAGGCCTCTACTCAATTCACTTTGATGTATACATTCAAAGGTAATCGTTTTTTTGTCTTCAATTTCAGGCTTTGCAACTCAGACAAGAGTCAAATTCTCATTATGGATTCTACAAAGGGCAGAGATGCGAAATGTGCCTCCATTCAGATTCTCTACAGAAAGTAATGGAGCAATTGGCTAATCCTGGTATTGAACCACATAAAAAGTTAAAAACATCACTTTCCCTATTGAATATTATGCTTTGAGTTTTACCTAATGAAATTTTTTAGGGGTTCGACGCCTTTTTGTTGTCGAAGCTGGAAGCAACCGTGTGGAAGGCATCATTTCATTGAGTGATGTATTCAGGTTCTTCTTCAGCTTGGCTTAAGTGTCACGAAGCAATCGATCATTCAACTTTCTGTCAATGTGTTCAAACCACTACCTTCAGAAAGGCAAATGAAATTATTTTTTGTTCAAATGGTTTTTCTATTTTAATTTCGAATGTGTCAGCTAACTTGGTTAAAACTTCGATAGTTTATCGAAAAGTCATGGGCTCGAATCTGATCTTTATCATTTATCCTTTGAAAAAAAAAAATCAATGGGCTATAATGGTTCAGAGTCTTGTGTCTTTAAGAAAGGTCATGACAAGATCTCTAAATTAGAGGGAAAGGTTTTGAACTCAGTTAGGAAAATTATTCTCTATTTAGTAGTCTAGTGCTAATGACTTGGGTAGAGTACCCTATAGTGATCATTAAGCTGATGGGTCAGCATTATGATGGAAAGATAGTTATATACTTGATAAGCTGTATTCAACAACTTAATCCTGTGTTGGAACATACCAGTGAAGAAAAGGGATTGTTTACAATGTTCCGTGGTCTTCCTAGAATGCAACGGCGGTTCAGACTCTAATGAGACAGCATTCGGGAGTATTTAATCGTACTTTTGATCTCATCTTTGACAATTAATGGTTGAGAAGGGCATCAAGTTTGCTTATTATATAGAGGAAAATTTTATTTTTTAAACTGTGATGGTCCTGTCGTGTTGCTTGTCAGTCCAATTTAAGCTGGACTTCTGCAATGGAACTTCCAATCAGTTGTTCATACATGTGTTCGCAATGTATTCATAGAATGCAACCTTGATGCTCTCTCTCTCTCTCTCTCTCTCTCTCTCTCTTATTAATTCCTAGATCTTAATGTTTGCCTAACCTGTTGGAATCATCCTGCCCATCTGGTCACCTACGTCACTGGTCCCACGCCGGTCTCTAAGCCACACGCAGTGAGCCCGAGCCAAACTGTGCTGGGCCAAGCTATGGGCCAGGATTTAAGCTCAACCCGAGTTGCACTACCGTGCAGGCTGATCGGGTTCGGTTAGCATGATCCGATCAATATAAAAATATCAATAAAATATAAAATTTTAGGAATCAGATTAGATGATTAAGAACTGAAATATAATTTTTGCAATTAAAAAAATATATTTTATGAATTAAAGTATTAATAAACTATGTTTTATGAATTTAAAAATTCAATAAATAAATGAATATTTCAGATAAAATAATATGAATAAATTTCATGTCAGAGAGGATACATATAATTCAAATTTGATTTAAATTTATGTTTCTAAACAGTTAACAAATCATAGATTTTGTATATTTAAATCTAAAAATAACAAATAATAAATCTAAAGTTTCAGAAAATTTACAGTTTATCTAAATCAGATCATATAACTTCTAAATGTTAAACTATAAAATTTATATGATAACTAAAAACCGATGAGAATCAGAGAACTTACCTCCATTTTGGATCGATTCAACCTTGTTCTTGAAATATTTAAATGAATGAAAATACTAGGTGACTTCCTACTCAAGGAATAAACTACAACGATGGCTTTCCTATGGTGATAATTAATATTCAAATCATAATTTTTTTAAGAAATCATCCACATACCTTGTCTTATATTTAATTTTTTTTTTGTCAAGATGTATTTAAGGCTCCTATGAAAATCTCAAAAAACTATCTATAAATATAATATCTCTATTTTTAATGTAAAAAGTAATAGTTGCTAATTTTAAATCATTTGTGGGATAATTATTTTTGTGTGCTTTTAATTGTTTAGATGCATTTTCTACTAATATCTAATTTTGTGTTAAACATACATTTAACATTACTAAATGTCACAAATCCTTGTCCTATAGGAATCACTGAAACAAAGACACTAGTTAATCTCTGTTTTCATTCCTCAAAACTCCATCGACATTAATCATCTCAAATAAAATTTTTTTTTTGTGTCAACCTAGTATAGGGAGCTACTATATTTGAAGATCCTTCGTTAAATCTTCTATAATAACCAACTAATCTAATAAAGCTCATGATATCTCAATCATTAGAGGGATGCTAATTTATTTAGTATTAATATAAATGCCTACACTGGATAGCACATGTTTAAAAAAACATATCCTTGTGGAGTCAGAAGTTACACTTCTCAACTTGACATAATTCTAAGACTTCAATGGTCTTTTTAGATTTAGAGTAACTCACGGTCTACTATGCTAATGTCAATTGTTTCTCAAAGGTGGTTACCTTTTCACTCCCTTGATTAGTTGCCTTTTAAGTTCACTAGAATCTAATAGAGCTTCCTCCTCTTATCTCGACACTAGATGCTTAGAGATGGTTGACTAAAGATTATAAAGATTTTTAGCTTATATTTCAAAAAATATTTATGAAGCTTGGGTAGGAAGATCTATTTATGGTGAGAGACTTTTCTTATGTCTTTTATGAGAATTTTCTTGAATGGCCTTATAATTGAAAAATCAAGTTCACTATTTATTTTCACCATCACACTGTACCTATTTCTAAACCTCCAATTGAACTAGAAGAGTTAAAAGAGGCCAATGCAAGAATTATTGGATAATGATTTTATTCGACCAAATGCATATCTATCAGTTGTCCTTATTTTGTTTGTGAAGAGGAAATATGGATAACAAATATCCTCATAAATAAATATGGCGAGATAAGATTAAATATTAATTATAGATAATTCAACTAAGTGATCAGCAAAAATAAATATCCTTGATAGATGATTTATTTGATAAATTTTAAAGTTTTCAAGTATATTGGATGATTGATTTGATATCTAGATATCATTAATTGAAAAATAAAAGAAGGAGATATATAGAAGACTATCTTTAGAACAAGAAATAGTTAATAAGAAACTTTCTTGGTGATGTGTTTTGGTTTAACTAATGCACTAATTATTTTTATGGATCTTGTGAACATGAGCTATAATGTTCTAGGAGTAGATGGAACATGAGCTTTTAAAAATATAAGGCAGAAGAAAATTGAAGCTATAATGAATTGGAATAAATCTTTTGTCCAAAAATTTCTCTTATAATTTAGAAAATTCTCTACATGTCTTTGATTTCAAAAAATATTAATTAATTAAAAAAATTTAATTGATTATTATTATTATTATTATTATTATTATTATTATTATCTAATAGTCCTACATGATGATGTGTAGTATGATATGTGGACGGATGATCATGGACCATGTGATGTGTGTACTTATGATTATTATTATTGGGGCCTACGAGTTTTTATTTTATTTCTCATTTATTGTCGGGCCTACGTACATATGATTAAGTTGTAATCACACGAGGAGGCATAGCGGGAGCGTGGAAGCGATAGCAGGACTCACGATATCGAGACGGATGATCGCGATGCATTGAGATGTATCGTCTAGATGCTGACAAAATTGATGAGGACGAAATGGACGATCACAGGGCATGGAGATGCATCGTTGCACACATAGACCTTCATGTAAGTGATTAGGCTCACTGGCTTGTGCTTAATAACATTAGGTTGTGGTCCATGATCATATGGTGTGATTGCTTGTACACTTACTAGATATACATATATATTTGCATACGATGTAGATATATATTAAATATGTATATGTGTGACATATCATATTAGAGACCAAATCAATGAAACCCCTCTCTCGACAATATTAAGTTGGTAAATATGAGGCAATTAGATTGACCCACGTGGCCTTTCATCGTTATAGGAAGGGATCGATTCTCGATGTAGGTTGAGTTGGTCGAGTCCCTCGAGGCTCACCTATATCGCGATTCGCTATCTTGCTTATGATAAGAGATGTCACTAGTGACTTGAGGACATGACATGCTTAGTTTAGTCCCTCGAGGGTATATCATTGAATCTGACTCATCTTGTAACGATGGTGTTGACTTAACTAAACATCATAGTTGGTCGAGTCCCTCGAGACCATGGTGGTTCAGAGGCCAAATAGGATGAGAATCATAAGGAGTTGTGATTGGTAAGAGTTGCCTACCTTTTGGGCTTAGTGTGATTGGTCGAGTCCCTCGAGGTTACACTAAGACGTTGATTGGATCCCGATCCCCACTAGAAGTCTGCCGGAGTCTTCCGTTTCACGTGCTGAGGGTGTCGCATGACTTGCTAGTAAAATAGTAGGAGCACATTAAGATGGAAATCTATATCTTATTTGTTTATTTTTATAAAATCTATATATTATTTGTTTTTTGTATCTTTATTTTCAGAAATATCGCTTTCAAATCCCTTACGTGGCATACTTGATGTCAACCGCCTCACTGGTCTGAATTATATGGATTGGCTCTGCAACTTAAGAATTATTCTCACAGCGGAGGAAATCACGTATGTCCTTGATACAATGATGCCCACGCTCGAAGAAGGGGTAAGCGAGGATGAGATTGCTCGCTATGTGAAGTGCATAGATGACTCCACTCTTGCTTAGTGTTATATGTTAGGCTCCATGACTCCTGAGTTACAGAGACAACATGAAAAGATAGATGCCAGATCCATTCTTCTACATGTCCATAAATTGTTTGAGGAATAGGGAAGGACTCAGCGATATGAGATATCCAAGAGCCTCTTCTGCACTATGATGACTAAGGGGACACCGACTTAGAACGATGTCATAAAAATGATTGAGTGGATATAGAAACTCACGAGTCTAGGAATGGTCCTAGAGGATATCCTGTGTGTGGACCTTGTGCTTCAGTCCTTACTAGATTTATTTTCATAATTCATAATAAATTTTAATATGAACAAGCTTGAGGTGACTCTCCCTGATCTCCTCAATATATTGAAGGAGGCAAAGAGCACTATCAAGAAAGATAAGTCAGTTCCCTATACTGGTGAGACCAGAAAGAAAAGGAAAACAAAAAAGTCCCTTAAGAAGGGCAAGGGTAAACTAGGTAAAGCAAAGGTTGCTAAGAAAGACCCAACAAAGGACAAAGGCCAATGCTTTTGCTACGACAAAGATGAGCACTAGAAAAGGAACTGCAAAGAACACCTTATAGAGAAGGCGAAATAGAAGCTTGGAGAAGCTTTAGGGACATTCATGATCAGTCTCCATTTATCAGACTCTTATGATAACACATAAGTATTAGATACAGGGAATGCTTATCATATTTGTAATTTGTTGTAGGTTCTGACAAGACCTAAGAGATTGGCAAGAGGCGAGATGGACCTCAAGATAGGCACTGGAGCAAAAATTACGCATTA